AGCCTACTGATATGGAATCTGATTACATCACACCTACAGCTGGTGATTACATTTCTTCGCAGTGTATGCCCAACTACTGCTCTGATGATAAAAATCACCAATCCATCTCGCCGAAATCACCAGTTAAACACGTCACAATTCCATCTTCTCTATTCCCGAAAGAAATGGAGGCAGAAATCCAGGTTTCAGTTGATGATCCTAATAGATCTGCTTCTCTTGGTATTGTTCCTCTTGCCAACAATAATTCTCAGGGCACGAACGCCAAACACTCAGGAAAGTGCGGCAATACACCAACCGATGTCCAGAATGTTGAATTTTAATTCTCTAGACAGAGTAAAATTCAAGTATAAAATATAATTTGTTGCCATACCAAATGTTACCCATCGCCTTTTGAAAAAAAAATTTCTATAAGTATTTTAACTTTAAATATTTCGAATTTTTTACCTGAATTTTTAGTGACGTATTTTATACTCAATAATACTCTTTTTAAACTTTTTTATTAAATTTTTCATAAAACTTAACATTTCGAAATTAAGTTTGTACTTAAATTTTTATCTTTGATATATGTATATAATTTGGTATAAAAGGTATAAAAAAAGTTTAATATTATAATATCACATATGTCCAGTATTACCGTTATGAAAGAAAATATTATATAATGAAAATCATAATTGATTATCCTTTAATACACTTACGCTTACCTAGATTTTAGTACTTGTAAATGAATTTGATTGCTTTTGGTTGAGAGTGTGATTGATTAATGAATGTGATGTGCTATTCATGGCAAATCTAGATATTAAAATACAATTATGTTGGAGCATTTAATTAATAATAAGACTTTTGCAGTTTGATTGGGTTTGATTGCGTTTTGTGTAAATGTAAGTTAATTTATGGAATTATATATGAAATTAATATATATTGTTAGGAGTAAAGTTTTGTTCAGGTATTTCTCTTTTATAAATATTCTGACTACTTTTTCAAAAAAGTTTGTGTATGAACAACAAAATGTAATTTTTAGATATACATATTTTTAACATTTATATAATATAGATGAACGACGCTGCTCGGTGTTTGAAAATTATATTTAAACCTTATTATATTATTAAGTTTATATTATAATTTTGTTTATTATATTGTTAGCTAATCAAATTGATAAGGATTTATCATGAAATTACATACATCAAGTATGAATTGAAAATTAAATGTTATAAAGGCCATTTAATTCATTGTCAGACTGATGAAACCAAAATGCAAGAAATAATAATTTCTTAGTATGATTATATATTGATATTACAATTTATTCATAAGTTTATTAGACAGAAGTAGAACTTTTAAAATATTATTATTCATAAATATGATCACATGACACATTGTATCTATGATCATCGTTTGATCTCAAATTGTTATAGTTCTATGTAAATATATTAAGCTATGTGCCTTCATATTTTTCTAGAAATAGAAATCATAGTGACAATAATCATCAGATAATTTAAGAATCCTTTTCTTGGTTTATATAAATTGTTGCAAATTCTTTTTTCCAACTTCTTATTTTTCTGTTAAATCTTTTAAACAATATACATAGTTTCTATTCAAAAAATATTTTTTTGAAACATTACTCGAATCTTATATAACACTGTTGCCAGTACAAAAATTATATTAAAAGGAAATGTTCTATGTTTATTTCATTACCATATTATTTAACATTTAATTCTTGTTGAATCTAGTCTTTAGTTTATTAAATACTTTGTATGTTTCACGTTTTTACAAATAAATTAATAAAAAAACACTAATTTGTTGTTTTATGTGTATGTTCTTTGTATTGGTTGTCTTCTGAAATTGTGTATTTAAAATTTTATGAAAACCTATTTTATTTTTAGAAAAGCATAATTTTATTTATGCATGTAATAACTGATAATACAATATTCAACAATAATTTATATCATCAATCTATTGATTTTATGATCAATATGTGTTTAGCACTTTCGGGTGGACTGGAATATAATGGTTAATGCTTTACAACTCTTCCACAGTACAACTTTATAAATATTTTTGGATTCAATACAAATATAATTTTACAAAATTGTAAAGATTAAATATACATTAATTATGATGAGCTTATTATAATGATTATTTTGAAATACATGGCCAGCTATATTAGTAAAAGAATGATACGAAAAGATGAAGAGCTAGATTGAAGCAGACGAGATTGAGGATGCATTGCCGTTGAAGAATGGTGCATTGCAGGCAAGTGCATTAGAGGAAAATACTTTGGAGGATAATACATTTGTGGAAAATTCATCGGAAGAAAATGTTTTAGAAGAATATGCATTGGGAGAATTTGCATTTGAGGCAAATTTATTGGAGAAGTGTTATTCTGAAAAGCCCACTTTTAAAGTGAGTGCATTGGAAAAGGCATTAATGATGAAATAAGTGTTTAGAAAGAACGCGTTGAAAAAGAGTGCGTTGATGAAGAGTGCACCTATGAAGAGTGCACTTATGAAGAGTGTACTTATGAAGAATGAGGGATAAAAAATGCGTGGATGAAGAGTGCGCTGATAAAAAAGCGTTTAGAAATAATGCGTTGAGGAAAAGTATGTTGAGAAAGAGTATGTTGAGAAAGAGTATGTTGAGGAAAAGTATGTTGAAGAAGAGTATGTTGAAGAAGAGTATGTTGAAGAAGAGTATGTTAAGGAACAGTATGTTGAGGAAAAGTATGTTGAAAAAGAGTATGTTGAGGAAGAGTATGTTGAGGAAGAGTATGATGAGAAAGAGTATGTTGAGGAAGAGTGCGTTAAGAAAAAGTGTGTTAAGGAAGAATGCGTCGAGGAATAGCTTTAGATAGAAAGACCAAAAGGTAAAAATTAGGTGGCAGACGGAACAGATGATAACCAAAGGACAAAATAAAGGTAATGTATTCATATCAACGTAAAAACAATTGGTATCGGAATTGGTATTGGATATCATATCTATTTGATTTTAAAGTACGAACCGCTTTAATAATAATACGCCTGGCGTGCTATCAAGCCATATACTAGGTTTATGTTTATTTTCGAATTCGACAATAAATTTTAAATTAATGTTTAATGCTTACCTATTAGAAGTTTAACGAATGTAATAAGTTTACAATTTTTCAGAATAGTATATCACTTATTACAAATATTAGGAATAACATATTTAAGTAATATACTAACTAAAACAGTTAAATTCAGGTACGGTATTACAACTTTGACACTTACAAATATTTTGAATAAAGAACTCACACACTACTAAATATACCAACAAATATATGAGTGGTTGATTCAAAATTTGTCCAGGATCGGACATTTGAATGTATAAAGGTGGCTATGAAAAGCAAAATTTGTATGATAATTACATTGTAATCAAGTATTTGAAATAACAAAAAAGTACTTTTTACGATTGATTCAGGATTTATGTAAGATGCATAAAAAGTGCAAAATTAGAAAAATTCAATATTGGTATTTTTTAAGCCTTCCTAAGGTATTTAATTTATAATTTTAATAATGGTATTCTTTATGATTTGAATCAGAACGGATTAATTTCTAACAATATTGACATCTGTAAGTGAAAATAGCTTTTATCCGCTATTGCTTCATCTTATACTCTTATTTTATCTATGGCTGCATCCATAAAAAATTAATCGCTATTACAGAAATTCTAATAAAGCCAACCGTTTGGGGTGCTATCTATAAAACTGACGTAGTTACTTAGCTCCATATAAGATGGATTTACTCTAACATGTTTTGATATTTGAGAATATCCCTTATAACACGGTACTTTTATAGCACGGTTTCACACTAACACGACGGTTCGATAATTGAGCAAAAACCTAATATATGAAATATAATAAAAGCTATTCAAAGCAAACTGTATCTAATTTAAAATTAGTGAAATCACCGTATAGCTAGTACAAAAAGAGCGGTTACGTTCCAAGAACTCAAAAAACATGTTACATATCATGATTTTATAATAAATATTGTTACATTCATTCATTTTTTAAGAAGTAATATATATTACTAGAATTATATGATTTTTTTGTCATAATTAACAAGTAAGTGCTATCCAACATAAACCTTTTTTTGCAAGATATCCTTATCCGCAGAGCAGTTTTCTATACTACCTCCAGATCCGTGCATTATTTTTTGCAAAAAAATTATATTTGCGATTACTTGCTTTTGGCAAAATCACATTTATCAGCTATTTCATCACATTTATCAGCTATTGTACGGTGATTTCACTAATTTTAGAAATAAAGTTTACTTTTCATAGGTTTTATTATATTTCTTATTTTATTAAAACTTTCTTCAATTCTTAAACCGTGTTATGCGAACCCGAAAGTACCGTGTTATGAGGGGGATGATGGTCTCAATTCTTAAACCGTGTTAGAGCGAATCCGTGTTATAGAAGTACCGTGTTATGCGAGGGTTACCTGTATATGTGAAAAACGCCTGATCGCACAACAAATACATAACTTTTGACAGTTAATTTATCCGAGAATTGAACCCTTTATTTTGCATTTTCATAATAACGGATATATTGAAAAAGTGATATGTGCTGCCACATGTGTCCAAATCATAAACTTGAATAATAGCACAAACTTGGAATCGCAAGTTTGCGCAAATATCATCCCACAAACGTTTACGATTTTTTTGAATTTGCACAAATAATCATAAATATTAAAATAATATTTTAATAATTTATATCAAAAAAATAAGTTTCATGCATTGTCTATTATCCCATGGTCATATTTACCACAAGCTCCGCCCACCAATATAATCTTCTAATGACAACGACGTGCTCTTGTTTAGTGCTCAATTGCTTTCTTTATGTTTCTGTATTTATTTTACAATTTATATGTCTAGATCTAGATATTTGTATGTTTAGATCTTTTTTATATATAAGATAATCATACTAAATCATCATGTGACATCAATACCTCCCTGGTTAATATTTTGCAAACGTCAGAAATTAACCTGCAATGAGTTGCATCAATGTGCAGTGTCGAATATGACAATTACTTAAAACTGAAAAACAAGGTTTTTGTTATGTAAATAAATACGTTATGGCATGTGTAAAATTAAATATAAAAAGTGTAATAATTATCGTATTAGTTGTAATGTTTAACGGAATTAAATCGCATATGGCTGTCAATCATATGGAAGGCTTTGTGAAAGACGAAAAAAAGAACTTTAGTAATACCGATTCAGTTACAGTTGTACAAAAACAACATGTTCCAGCAAGTCTCGAAACAGGTGCAAATTGTTCTCGAGATGAATGTTATAAATTGTTGCCTACATGTCTAGACTGCAAACTAAATGACAATTGTACATATGGTGCTCAAATAAATGTATCTTGCACAGTTCGGCCAAATGTCGACTGCCACGGGAATAGAGAGTTCTTTAGGGTAATGACTTGCCAATACTGCCACCAAACAGAACATTGGGAGCATACATGCGCCCAAAAAGCAAACTGTAATTCTATAGCAACCCCCAAGCAGCATTACAGGACGAACTGTACGGTGAACCCAGATGTTCTATGCCTTGGAAAAAGAAACTTTTTAAAAAATGTTAAGTGTGATTGGACCGGAGGATATCACTGGTCCACAGCTCTTATACTTAGTATAACACTTGGAGGTTTTGGTGCCGACAGATTTTATTTAGGCCATTGGCAAGAGGGAATTGGAAAGTTATTCTCATTTGGAGGATTGGGAGTTTGGACGCTTATTGATGTTATTCTAATCTCATTACATTACTTAGGTCCTGCAGATGGATCTCTGTTTTTATAACAAATCAATCTTCATGACTTTGATTGAACTGTTGCAGTGATAATAAGTGCTAATAATTTGTAGATACAATTTAATGTAAGTGATTGAATTGAATGTAACGAATATATGATACTTTGTACTTTTTTAGATGTACTTTTATTATTTCTGGTCTATAACACCAATAAAACTGGTAATTGCTATCACCTTCTTCTTTATGCCATATGATTTAGCGCTGTTTTGGTTTAGTGCTCTTTTATTTCAACCCAGGTTTTGAAGGGATAAATGAGGAAGATGTCGAAGAAATAATTCAATAAGTAGAGCAGTCTTTCTAATGGTGACCTCAAGGAATGAACTGAACAAGAAGGAAACAAAAATGTTGACAGCAGTGATTCAGTGGAAAAGCAAAAAGAACTTTCGATGGTGTTTGTAAAAAGGAGTTTGTCTACCATAACTGAAATAATGGATCAATTCATTGAAAAATGATCCAAATTTTGACAGAAGCTCTAAAGTAAGGCGTGGTGTTAGAGATGCTCTATCCGTTTATGAAGCAAAAGAAAAAGTGAAACAACATTAGACGCCTTTGTCACAAAACGGCAAAATACTGAAAATGCGGAAGGCTAACTAAATATGACTGACTTAGAATGTTATTTGTTTTTTCAAGAATATTTGTTTTGTTATTTATATTTTATCTTTATTTTTGCAAGAAATAATGTGCTATTAATTTGGGCTTTAAGAAATAAATGTTTGGTTTTATTTTTAGTAAAAAATACATACTTTTTAAATTTAATACCGGACCAATTTCCTGCCGTTTACCCCTAACTCCAATATTTTCATGTAAAGATAAACTCTTTTAGCGCTGTTTTGCATTGCACTCTACTTTGATGGAACGTAACCCCTGCGTTAAACGGGGTATTCCTGTATAAGTAAGTTCTTCTAAGGCAATACATCAAATGAAAGGCAAAGATTTAAAAATTGGTCTTTAATTATTCAACATAAAACTTTGTGAAAATGATTTATTGATTGATTTTGAGCCTTGGAGCCTATCATAATTACAAGTTACTCTTACAAAAATATTCTGTAATTTATCTAAATTATTTGTTTCGTAACTCTGTTTTATTAAAATTAAAACAAAAATAATATTTTCAATAAAAACAAGCTGGTGTATAAATTGTAGTGCTAAATAATGTGCTTCGTGCACATCAATTGATGTAAACACCATATCCTTATTTACTGATGATAATATAAATTCTTTGCAAAGTTTTCTTTTAAAGTCTGAGCTCATTTCATTGATAATATCTTCATTTAAAAAATAGGTTTCTTTGACACTAGTTTATTGAGCTGTTGTACGGGCATTTCACTAATTTCAAATTAGATAAAGTACTTTACTATATTTTTACTTTATTAGGGTTCGCTCAATTCTCGAACCACGTTAGAGTAAAAAAAAAGTGCTATAAAAGTACTGTGTTGTAAGTCAGACGTTCTCAATTCTTGAACCGTGTTATAATGGGATTACCTGTATTAATTTATATTTAGTATTTAATGCTTACATATTTATATATCTTATATTTACATGCTGATACATATACCATTGGATTTGTTTTTTTTTTAAGGGGGTTGTTCTTTTTTATTTATCTTTGTTTCAGTTTTGAGATTTTTTGATATTATGAAAGCTAAAAACCTTAGAATTATTTTAAAAAAAAAATCATCTCAATATCTATTTTTTTGACGAAGTTATAGATATATATATATATATATATATATATATATATATATCTCTCTATACGTATGATCCTCTGAAAACGTTTTTTTGTCGTTCCGCGAGCTATTGTATGCCAGCTGCCTCTTTTTCATTATAATACCTCATGCACATGACCTTTTTAATGTGTCAGCATCTTTGAACACCATGGTGTATTTCGTACATTAAATTAAATGTTGTATTTAGTATATTAAAAACTTTAAATACGTTTTTCTCAAATTGACTTTTTTCAATTCGGTGCCACAAATTAAAAAAAACTACAAGTCGGATCGACTTGCATTTTTTTTTAATTTGTTCACCACTGCAATACCTAGTCCCCCTACCTCAAACAACTTGATAACATTACGCAAAAAAAATTTGCGAACCTTCTCGTCCCAAAAAATGGCCTTTTTTGACACTTTTTTTTAAAATAGCTGCCATTTTTTTCCTTCTTGCTTTTTTTACTTTCATTTTGGTAGGGGGACTGGATTCAAACTTCTTCAACGTAGTTTCGTTTTTTTTTGTTTCAGGCGATGCGCAACGGATTTATCTGTGGCACCGCAAACGAGATCGATTTTGCAATGCCCACTTTGGCGCCCCCTGGTTAAAAAATGACGGCGAAAAAAAAAAAATACCTTAATATTCTATGATTTTGTAATTTTTGTTTTAAAAAAACCGCATGTCTTTATGATAAATACATTTCGAGAAAAACAAAAACAAATACCTTGCATGTTTTGTAACAAAAAAATAACAACCCCCTTAATTTGAGAAGAGAGATAAATGTATATATATATATATATATATATATATATATATATATTCTTTATTTATGGTCACATGCCAAAAAAAAACAAATTAAATCAATGGAATATTATTTTTAATAATATTTATAGTCATCCGTTTTAGGACATAGCATAACTGAGCAAAAAATTCAAAGATATATAGGAACCAAAGTCGAAAAGCAACATAAGTCCATTTTTATTATGAAAAAAACAGACTATGATGCCAGAGGTTTATTGAATACTGAAAAAGAAATATTTATAAATACAAACATCAGAAAAAGATATAATTTACATTTGGTAGTGGAAAACAAAATATAAAACTGAATAATGATATTATGAAGCACAGAAAAACTACTATCAGGCCTAAAATTTGAAGTTGAATCTACCAATTAGTGCATTGTTTGACAATGATAAAAACCATAATTAAAGCAACCGTACTTTGAATACTCTCCTGTAAAAATGATCATCAATCTCTAATCATCAATGAACTGTAATACATTTGTGAAGAGTTTGCAAACTGCCCTAAAGTGAAATTGCTATAACTGCTATTATTACATAGGCGTAACGGTTAAGTGCACTGCCTTGTGTCGACAGCGTTGTGAGTTCAAACCTCCGCCCTGGACATCATGATATCATGTATATAGTGATATAAATTTTTACTTGAAAATATACAAAAAACGATAGATAGAGAAAATAGCCCACTTAGGGCACTGCGGTGTAGAATGGCAATGGGAAACCTCTCACACTATTCTTGCCCGATTTGAATTGGAGTTTAACTCAGCTTATGAACCTGCCTAGGACAGAGCACCCATTATTTATTAATAATTGGACACTCAACATTGAATATTACTCATTATGTCAACAATTATGGAAAACCTGATTCTGATTGAATTTTGGGATCATATTTATATGAAAAAGTAGACATAATTTTATACACCTTGTACCGTACATCGTATGGCATCATTGAGTTGTTTTGCAACACCAACCACTCAATAAATTTATTATAGAAATAAAAACAAATGTTAATATATCAAATTTTAAAAAAATAAATCTATTTTTTGTATTTAATATATATGGTTTTAATATATGTAATACGTTTTATTAACTTTCTATAGGTGATGTTTGTCTAGAAAATCGGATTTGGTAATTTTATGTTTTCTCGACGTTCCAAGTCATTTTGAATTACTTGACACCAAAATCAATGAAAGTATGTGTGTGTTTGTAAGACAAAATTTGAACTTTCGTCGATATTTTCTCAAAAAGGCTGCACTGATTTAAAAAATTTAAAAGCCATTTTTATTTTGCAATGTCATTTGGCGGTCAAAAATATTTATTGGACATGTGTACATCAAATTATCGGATATTTTATAGAGCTTTCAATAATGTGTACACATTTTGCGTAATTTTTTTTGAGTTTCGTACCAAGATTTTTAATTACGGTACGGGAAATTTCAGCAATTTGCCTTAAGGCACGATGCCATGCACCCCACTAGGTTTTCTTTAAATTCAGGTAAAAAATAAATACATGTGAAATCTTACTAGACTCCGCCTTTGTAATATTTTGTGAATTTTGCTATCTTCGCATCAATGAGTATACAAACATTTTCTTTACACGTGATAGTAACTTTATACTTACTGAGAATAATTTCTGATAAAATGTTATTTTGTAGTGCATTTGATCTGGACTCCACATACATAAATCAAAACTTCAATCATAAGAGATCACAGACTGACTTAACCGATTTATAGACCAGAAGAACGTGTGTTTTTATCCATGACTTCCTGTAATACTTTTAGTGTCACTAGTGTCGACTACAACTCACGTGGTTTTCCTAAAAAATACAGAAGCAATAATTGTGAACTATTTTTTTCAAATTTTAAACATGACAGAGCAAAATTATTGCCTTTACCTGCACTAAAAAGAGGTGCATAGTGGCATAACTATAGAGCAAAATTCCACGAGACCCCAATCCAATGAGGCCCCCGGCCTAAAAAGCTGCAAGGTTCGAATTTTTAATTCTTTGCTGATTTGCAGCAATTACTTTATATCGATTTTTTAAGAATAGATCCTGTAAGCGTCAATATTCATTATTTTGTGATTGAATTCAATGGCCAGTAGTGGAACATATACAACATGCAGTAGAATATGCTGAAAATATTCAATGTTTACTAAAAAGGCCCCAGTTGATCTAGTTATGCCACTGGAGCTATAGATGCTAAATTTCTGTAATAAAATACCAAATATTTGAAAACATAACTGTATTGAAATAAATGATTCGTTAAAACTAGTCACTAACTTGTCTTTTATTAAACAAATATATTGTTTAATACGGTTAAATACATGAGGAATCATCTCAGCAGTTCTAATCAAAAATATCTTTTCCATAAAGATGCTTCCTAAAATATTAAATTAACAAAACCACTCTAAATAAAAGAGTGATTATTGCATTGAAGGTTTATTCATTCATTCAAATTGTTAATATTTAATGCATCTCTCCATTATACTTCACAAATGATATAGTACTTCACGAATAGAATTTCTTAAAACTACTAATAGATTATTTTGTTGAGCTATAAATAAATTTTAGATTTCTAAAATCCAGCGTGATGTTTTCTATAATGTAACACATTGACATAATAAATTTAGTTATATTGCATTATTATTTACAAATAAGGCTTTAGTAAATAAAATTTAGAAAGAGCTAGAAGTGGCCACACATGTACACCTTTGTGATTCTTCGAAACTTTCTTATTTTTTAATAATATAAACTATTTATATACATTTTTAGTACGCTTCTCATGAGCTTTCCACAACAATAATATGCTTAGTTAATTATTTATACCTTAATTAAATAACAATTTCCTTGTTTATTTTTAAATCTTTCATTATTAATTGATTGAATAAATCCTTGCAAAATATAATGGAATCATGATATTACAACCTCAAGTCTTACATACTAATAAATGATTTCGTTAGGTTGATACCTTCTACTACCTTCGAGAAACCATACTTAAGTACATATTGAAAATCATTAATCATTTACACATTAAACTATTATGGCAAAAGTTTAACTGTTCTACAAGACCATTTAATTTGTAAAATCATCACAGAACTATCATCTATAATCACAATGTTTGTATAAAATATATGGCATATTCAAAAAAATAACATAGTGCATGTAAATAGAGAAAAGTACTAATACTGGAATAACTACATACAAGATCAACTAAAAATTCACTATATCATCCTGC